AAATTCTAACTAAGAGTAGAAATTCATTTTTTAATCGAAGTCTTCCTTGGCGTTGCCGTCCTGACTGCTTAAGGTCCTTATTGCTGTTATACATCCCCGAAAGGGTTACCCGCGGAATTCTTTGAAGGGAAGTTCTGCCCGGCTCCGTCTGCTTTCAGACCCGGCCCTAAAATCCAAGTAACAAATAGATTCCATGTTGCCATGCGTTTGTTCAGTAATAAATTACAGATGACGTCACTTTTATAGTTAAAAAAAAAAAAAAAAATTGGAACTGGAGTAGGAGATGAAAAACAAAGCAATATTATGGGATGACCTAAACACGATTGCCCTCACTACACTCGGCAGTACGTTGTCTCTCTCGAGGTCTTCCATAGAAAGATTAAAAAAAAAAAAAAGAAACTGTAGAAGACAGCGGCCTTGAGCAAGATAATTAAACTAAAGAAAATTTGCCTGAAATTTCTGAAAGTCTGCCAGTACAGGTGCTTCGCTTGAGATTTTATCTCTTTAATGATTTTTTTTTTCCTGGTTTAAAAGGCTTAAAAAATAGTTAGCGTGGTCGTCTACTCGAAAAACCGTTACGATAACTTCCCCGAACAATTCTTGCCGAAAACACAGCTGTTTATAGATTACCACAAACGGAGGAAGAAAATGTGGATATTTTTAATGGAGTCACTTGCACACTCAATGCAAATACTTATTTCTGACGTCGTCCATCAATCCTATTACATGCAAATCATGTATTAGAGAAGGCTCGACACTTTTTTCTTCGCTCGTTTTATCATTTTCCTATTATGAATTGCACAATATTTTACGGGCTTAGTGTTCTTTAACTAGCAAGAAAATCGTTTACGATTTCCTCTTTTTTTCGATAACCAGAGGTATCCAGAAAAACGTGTGAGATATTGAAAAACATTTTTCGAAAAAGAAACGCTGTTTCTAACAACAACGTTACAGAGCAACTCCTCAAATCGAGATAGAACTGAATAATGATCATGTTCTCAGGGAAATTTGCATAATATTGCAAAACTGATCTTTAGCTCGTGGGAAAAGTAAATATTTACTGAAAGTCTGTTTAAAAAATGCGATTTCCATGCTCGTTTCAACGGGTGAATTTTAATCTGAATTGCATTCATTTTTATTTCGTATAGCCGGTCACAATCAGCAAATGATTTGGTTGTCTCCAACTGTATGCGTTTTGGTTTTTCTTACGCGAGTAACACTTAAACAAACCTGTGCGGTTCCAATGATGTTTCGGCCTTTCGAGTCAATTTTCAATTATCCGTCGAATTGTTTTTCGATTTTTACCAAAGATCTGTTCAATTATAAAAAACAGACTCACGAAACATTCGAAAAACCCTACCGGAGCAGGTGTACCTTGAGAAAAAAAAGCTCTTAATTTTCTATGTTATCTTTTTGGACGCAAATGTTTTTAAATTGCAAGCGCATTAAAGAAAGACTTGAATTAAACCCTCAAGCTGCATGCGGACCGGCTGTTTAGCTCATGTTCCGTAATAATCGATCACAGACATAATCCTGAAGGATTCTAATTTTAAATAAATTCCTCCTTTAGAGTTTATTCTACATCACAAACTCCAAATCGTCTATTTTCATGTGAGATACTTTAATTTTAGGAAGCTAACCCTCTTTCTTAAATAGCCATCTTTGCGTCAGGTTTAGAGCAATAGACAAAGAGATTTTGACGATCTTGTTCGATCCGCGGATGAGTGGAAAGTAAACTAAGTTTAATATTCATAAAGCGAACCAAGAAAAACGATTAGATACCAACATAATTACATTATTATGCACTTCGTGTCCTTTTTTGAGGCACTACTGGGCGACTTGGTAGCTTTCGTATTTGCGGTTTTTTTCTGGCCTTGTTTTTCAGTCGTTGTGGTCACAGCCTCATCTAAAAGTCGTTTTCCGGCTTTCTCTTTGTACGCTTGGGTATTCGCCTTTCCACCGGCATTCCCTGACTTTTTGTCCTCCTTTCGCTTTTCTTTATACGCTTCTCTTGTCTCTGCGGCTAGTTGCTTTTTATAGTCTACAACTTCTTTCGAGTCGCGTCGCTTAAAATTATCCTCATCCGGTAAGTCTAAGAACGGCACTTTCCTTCGCATGTTCGGAGAAGGTTTTGGGCTGGCTCGAGGAGATGTCCGTGGACTAAGAGCAAGCCGATTACAAGATGCAGCAACGGTAGAAGTTATGGGATTCATTTCCAGCGCCACTGAACACAATTCAGAATTTCCACCGCTTACGTTTCTTCTCGCTGAGTAATGAACTGCCGAGTCTTTTTCCTTGAATTATTCTCCACTCCAGTTGCTCTCTTTATAGCCAGCCCTGTTTACATCTGTGCTGTGTGAAATTTATAACAAAACCTTACTGACGTCTATATTCTAGAACGCCTCCCCCGTAAAGCGTAATAAACAAACTGTCTTGTTTCTAAAACTGGAAAATGGTCTCAGATTAGACACTTGTTTTGATCATGAACTATTCCAAGTGGATCAGAGTTCTGGTCTACACAAAAGCCTGTAATTGCCACATAAGCTCCGATCCAGTGAGTGTCAATACAAAGTTAGATTTTCCTCGTGCAATAAATTTCCATTTATGATCGACTAAGGGCGGAATATTATACCAAAGGCTGACGTCAAATCTCTGAGCCATCCAACGAAGAACTTCTTCGCGCAGAGACTTAACACAGACCACGTTTGCGCATATTGCTCAGTCGAAGACAAATTAGCATTTTGATTCGGATCATGTATTCAAAACCATTTTCATTTGTTCTGCCAAAGACAGTGCATGCCGGCTTCCTACCTCAGTTACATTAGTGTTGAAGAGATAAGCTGCAGAGAAAGGACAATTATAAAAAGCGATGGATTTTTTTACAAGCACCCGGTAGCCGAATACGGACGATCTCTATATTCGGGATTGAAAAAGGTGCTGTGCCTTCGAAAGGTTGAAAAACACAGCGGTAGTAATTCTCAGCTATCAGTCTGTGGCTCCGCATTCAAGGATCTACACTGGATGTTAATTGTGGCCGAAATGTTTAATTTAGTTTGTCGAATTTAGCATAAAAAGCAACGAAAATACATCGTGTTTTACGGCCCGACTACAACTTTTTCTTCTCCCATATTAAACTTGATAGTTTTCGCAGAAAAAACATTGTCCAATTTATTAAAAAATCAACGTACACAATAGACCAAATGGACTTTTGCCTCGCGACAAAGGAAAATCTTGAACGCAGACACACTTAACGAAAAGTGCAAAATCAAACAATGCCTGTCAAATCGCAACCGAGTTAAAATACACCACATCCGAAATTTACATTCATTGTCCGACTCGATGATAAATGATATGGATCTATTTTAGGTGCTGTTTATGAGAATTGTACCATTAAATGCTTTTTTTAAAGCAAAATATATTGACTATGAATTAGCTATTTCTAAACAATGAAGTTCTCAGTTGAAAACGGACATTCATGGACACAACAGGAATTCCCCGGCAATTTTCGAGCAAGGCTTACAATTGTATATCATTAAATTCACAAAAATCACGCAGCCGTATTTCATCGCATCCTCTTGCTGAAACGCCATAGAACTTTCTTAGTGAACATTTTAAAATCTTTATAGGCCTTTCACCGTGAGAATGAAAACTCTGACGTCGTTTTGGAACGTTTTATATTCGATTTGTATCGCCCTAAAGGTGGACTGGAACAAATCCGTGAATAAATAAATGATATTTATCTTTGTGTAAAAGCCTCAACTGCACTAATTTATCACATTAACTTTGATTAGCTGAATAATGAATGATATTTCAACCTTTTAAATAATAGATTTAAGTCAACCTCTTTCCTTTGTTTTTGATCGACTGCTTTGAAAAAAAACGCATCGAAATGTCAACCTTAAATTACATGAATAGCCCGTCCCCTTTCTTTCGATCAGTCTCTGGTTCTTCGTTAATACATTCGTAGATTTGATTTGCGTAAATGCAGATATCTGAATAAGAATTATCGTTGTTTTCCTAGTGGTTTTCACAATGAAAATCTTGCGTTTTCCATCATTAAGAACCATTGTGGGAGATACAAGGCTAAAAATAGTTTTACTGAACAATTTTAATCTCAAAATTTGAGAAAACCACTTTTCGAATTTAGTTTTTGTTTTACCCATCGCATTCTTTTCTCTGTGCGCATTCCCGAAAATGCGTAATTAGCTGAATAAGAAGTTGCTTATGCTTTCCAAAATGATTGTTACCCGCGGCCGTAATAAATGACTGTATATTTTAATTTTGACCTTTATTGTGGTCACCTCGCGTGTGTGCACGTTTGTCGCAACTTGCAACGCCCAAAGATACAATCAATATTATTGTAACACAATGTTTGAGTGGTCCAATGGCTTTATTACTGAAATTAGAGTTTAGTTCACGATACTAATAGAGGAGTTTTCAACCGAGTTTTCACAACTACCAATCAGGACAAAGGTTTGCATCATCATTAACCAATGAGAACTCAAGCAAAAACGGCAACCTGCTTGAAGCGCGGGAAAACGGTAACCTGCTTGAAGTGCGGGTGACCAAGTCATGATTGGTTTTAGTTTTGATTTCATTGGTTAAGATGGTGCCGCGAGTTTTCTCGACCAATCACAGGGCGAAACAAAGCAAAAGCAGAGGAATCGAGGATTACTTTTGATACTCAATTGAAAACTGCACTTTTTTTTTCCAACATCGGAGGGGCTTGCGAAGTTACGTGGCAGATACAAAGTGCATTTGCAAGGGAGCGCACCAACTGGTTACTGAAGTTGGGATGCCTTTTTCTTTTAACATCTTTTCAAAATTTCAAATCTTTTTAAACAATTTAAGTACCATTGGTTTTGCATTTGTACACTTTGGTGAGCTGTTACATAAATCTCATCCCTCTCCCGTCCGTAACGATCACCGTATAGGTT